AAGTATTTGAGCCAATTTAAAAAATCTTTGTCTTTTGAGTGGGTAGAGAAATTTCATTAAAATGACTGCTATGTTGGGCCACCCTCCCAAACATCTTTTAGATGAAGCTAATTTCTTACGAGTTTCCTTAGGAAAGGTGAGGACAGTATTCTGAGTCATGTTTAAAACTGTTTTTATTTAGTCTTGATGCTCGAAGGACAGTTGGCTGTGGATAAAATACTTGGTCAGCAGTTACTTTTCTTATGCTACTCTGTCTTGCTTTGCAGGTTGCTTTTGAGAAATCTGATAACTAATTCTTTTTTTTTTTTTTTTTGAGACAAAGTCTCATTTTTTTTTTAGCGTCGATAGTGTGTCGTGACGTCACAGCTCACAGCAACCTCCAACTTCTGGGCTTAGGAGATTGTCTTGCCTCAGCCTCCTGAGTAGCTGGGACTACAAGCACCTGCCACAATGCCTGGCTATTTTTTTGTTGCAGTTTGGCTGGGGCCGGGTTCGAATCTGTCACCCTCAATATACGGAGCTGGCGTGCCCTACTCATTGAGCCACAGGCTGCCCTCTAATTCTCTTATCTCTGTTAAGTCACAACCTTCTGACAACCCTCAGAATTTTACTGTTATCTTTACAGTCATACAGTTTTATTACTATGATTTATCCTGGAATGCATCTTCTCATAAGAACTTCAGCCGTATAAATTCAGGTCTCTTTCATTTTCAGAAAATTTTCTTGGGTTATACTTTTAAACATTATTTTTCTTCTTAAAGAACATGAATTACACACATTTTCCTTGTTAACAGTCTTCCATTTCAACTTCCTATCAATTAAAAAAACCTCATTCTCTTGTTTTCCTGCTTTTCCATACCTTCTATTAAATTTGCAGTTGAATCTATCCCGTGGGAAACTAAAAAATTAGTTTTCATCAGTGATATAATTTTGTTTTTTCTTTTGGAGTTTAATCTATTTTTAGTTCCTTCTTCATGTTTTTTGTTCTTTTCTGTTTCTGAATTTTTCAATTTCAAAATAATTCTTAATGTTGCTTTTCATATATCCAAACACTGGCTATAAGATGTTTATTTTCACTTTGAGACTTATGTTGACTTTCTCCTGCTTTGTGCTATGTGTGGGTTTTTTTTTGGATGGGTAGATTTTCATTAGCTAAAATGTTTGATTGACAATTTCCTGCTTATTCTTTTTTTGTTTTTGGAGACAGAGCCTTAAGCTGTCACCTTGGGCAGAGTGCCGTGGCATCACAGCTCACAGCAACCTCCAACTCCTGGGCTTAAGCGATTCTCTTGCCTCAGCCTCCCAAGTAGCTGGGACTACAGGCGCCTGCCACAATGCCCAGCTATTTTTTTGTTGCAGCTGTCATTGTTGGACGGGCCCAGGCTGGATTCGAACCCTCCAGCTCAAGTGTACGTGGCTGGCGCCTTAGCTGCTTGAGCCACAGGCACTGAGCCTGCTTATTCTTATAGTAGTTCCATATGAATGTGATCCATTTTTTCCCTTTCTATTTATTCATGGAGAGAATTCCTAGTTCCAGGACCCCCTCTTTTCTGAGTTCAGTTTTTTTTTCCTTTTTGTTCCTTCTTTTTCTTCACTGTCTTATCTCCAAGGCTCTGTGTCTTCACCCTTTCCCTAAGAAGCAGTGCTTATTATTTAAGACTATCAATCCTGGTACTGCTTACTTTAAGTCCTTCTCTATAGCTGAACTATGAAATATTATACTCTGGACCTGTGTCCAGTGTTTTGGAACTTTCTATGGATTTTTCTCTTTCTTGGGGGTGATTTTCTATACTTCATATATTTATTTCTCTACTTTAAGTATGTATACATTTTACTTACAGGTAAAGAAATTAAGCAAATTTACAAATTGAACTCTTACCCTACTTTTAGGTAATGTGAAGACTGTGGTGATCTGTTGCCTGGTAATGCTGAAGGAATGTATGGCCTGTGATTTGTATGTGCTTCTTGTTGGGTTTATAGGAGGATGGGTGGGAAAGCTGGATCAGGCTGCTGCTATTATTCTCCCAACATGAAAATCTACACATACACATTAAGTAGTATATTAAAGATTACTATAAATATGTAGTATAAACCCAGCAAGTCGACCACTGAAAGGGCTGTAACACGCTGGCCAACATACGAAGGTGGTCAACATAAGGAACTAGGCCAGTTGTACTTATAGGTAAATATGATACATTTCAGCCTATTGAAATTAGGTCAACTTAAGAAACTGGACAATGTAGGGAGGTGGTCAACTATGGAGGGTCTACTGTATTGCTTTTGTCATTTTTTGAAAACACTTGATCTGTTATCAGATTCAGGTTTTATATCATGTAACATAGTTTTCCACAATAAGTTGTCTTTTCATCTAATTTGCTTCAGAAACACATTTTTGCCCTATAGGAGTTTATTTGTAAATACCTTGGCCCATGTTTGTTAGTGATCTGTGAAAGACTTCTTTTTTTTTTTTTTTGAGACAGAGCCTCAAGCTATCCCCCTGGGTAGAGTGCCATGGCACATGCTCACAGCAACCTCCAACTCCTGGGCTCAAGCGAGTCTCCTGCCTCAGGCTCCCAAGTAGCTGAGACTACAGGCGCCCGCCACAACGCCCAGCCATTTTTTGGTTACAGCCATCATTGTTGTTTGGCGGGCCCGGACTGGGGATTCGAACCCGCCACCTTAGGTGTATGTGGCTGGCGCCTTAGCTGCTTGAGCCACAGGCGCCGAGCCAAGACTTCTTATGATTACTATTACAACTCATATTTATAGCATGCTTAGCATGTGTTAGGCACATTCTAAGGACTTAATCTGTAGTTAACACATTTCTTGCAATGTATATTACCCCTATTTTACAGAAGCAGTAGCAGTAGCTCAAACAGACTAAGCAACTATTGTAAGATTACAAAGCTACAATGAGCACCAATAACATGAGTCACTGGAATAATCTTAAATTTAAAATCTTAACTTCCCCTCTGTTTTTTTTGTAATATTGGGTTGGTCAGCTAACCTCTGCAAGCACAGAAAACTGTATCAGGTAATGTGCCCGCTTGAACATTTTTACTGCTCAAAATAAAACTAGAAATCGTATCTGATGACTACTTAAGACTCTGAATGTAAGGGAATGGAAACCTTGCCTTTTTATTTAGGTGTAAATAGCAACTACTTATTTACCACAAAGGAAGTAAATAGACAATGTCTAAAATTCATACAATATATAAGCCTAATATTTAGAATTACAGAGACAGACGAAAAAGCTAAAAGAATGAAAGCAGTTGTCTCACCAGAGCTGAAGTGGAATGAGAAAAAGACTGCTGCAACACACCCTTTTGGGGAATACTTATAGCACTGTTTAATATTGTACCATCCAGCACGTGTATTATAAGAATGAAAGTTCTTATAAAACATATGGTAACTTTTAAAAATTAAACTGGTAAAATTTGAGAGATTGATGATATCTGATACTGGCAAATACATATGTGGGAAAATTGTGCTCATCCATACTTGGTAGAAAGGTAAACTAAACCTGTAGTATCTTTTTGAAAGGTGATTTGGCATCGCTTATGAAAACTACAATGAGTATGCCTTTTGACCAAGTTATTCCACTTTTAGGAATCTATCCTTCAGAAGTACTTGTACAAGCGCGTAAGAACCTATGTAGAAAGATCTTTCCTAATGTAATTATATAATGGGGAAAAACTGGAGATACTCTAAACACCAGCAGATGAATGATTGGCAAGAGGTAAAATATGGAGTGGAAAAAGTCAATCATAAAATACAATATAAATATAGTACAATCACAAAGTAATGGCATGATAAAATATAGTACGATCATCTACTTTTTATTTATGCACTGGCATATGCAACGTAGATAGGTGTATCTTTTTACTTATATGTACATTCAGAAACATCCTAGAAGGAATAAATAACAAAGCTTTTAACAGTGTGCGAGTGGGATGGGAAGATGAATATAGCTTTTGTGTATTTATTTTCTTTTTCTAAATAGCACGTTTATAATGAAAAATAAAACAGGTTTTTATAGTGACAAAACCTAAGAAGGGATCACAAATCACAGAATTTCACTTTCCTACTATAATTATCATCTACAAAACCTTCCTTCCTATGAAGTCTACAAAAGAATTAAAAGGTATACCATAATCTTATGATATAATCAACCACAAGCGCCAATAAAATTGTAAATTTCTCTAGGAAAAAAATCATAGAAAATTGATTCTGAGATTCTAAATACAGGTGCCAGTAAGTATATAACCAGGTAGTAATATCATGTATAATTTCAGCATGAATAAACTCATCAACAGTTAATCAACTCTTCAGTATCCAAACCAATTGGGAGCAGTGGCCCACAAAATTTTCAAAGTTTTATATTTAGCTATGGAATGTATGTTTTCTAAAACCTTAAATTTGAATGATCACATGAGATCACAAGGTTCAAAATAGAAATGTAGAAATTAATGGATACTCTGTGATGACTAAATTTAGTAGGAGCTAAAGAGCTATTTAGTACCTATAGGTCTCTTTTTCATTCCACCATCACGATGGAAAGCTGAGTCTGGCACAGTGATAAAAATCATTAGTGGAAACAGAAATGCCTTCATTCTTTCTACCTTTACTATTATGAGGAAAATATATGGTAAAGATTTGGGCTTAATGGGTTTTTGTTTTCCCCAAGCTCAGTGTGAAAGACTAAATTCATGTCAATGTTACAACCAAGAAGAAACTGAAAGCAATAATATTCTTAATAACTCACCTCAACAAACTTAAAAATACCCAGGAGAATAGGAGAGGACAACAGTCTATATAACAATATTCTAAGATTTAAAGCAACAGTGAACAGAAGGAAGATAGTCTTTGCTCTATAAAAAAATATAAATTTCTACCACTTTGGGTTCAACTTCTGGTTCTATCACTGTTATGACTTTGAGTGTGACAGTTAACACGGGTCCCAGTTTCCCTCTCTTCTAAGTAAGGAAAACACTACTTACCACACAAGAAGGATGTACGATAAAATAATTCACATGAATGGACTTTCAACTCTTCAGAAGAAAGCTATGAATCCTTAAGCATGTACCTGAAAAGCTAATTAAAAATAAGATGACAATATCAAAATTAAGTCTGAATCACACATGGCCTAGAGAATCTACGAGATTATCAGTTATCAATTTTACCCCAAATAACAGCATTCATACTAAACTTGGGTCTGTAGTACAAATGTTGAGGCAATCAAATAAGATCGTTAACGTGGTAATATAGAAAAAGAAAGTTTACACAGGTTATTCAGTTTTTTTTTTTTTGAGACAGAGCCTCAAGCTGTCCCCCTGGGTAGAGTGCCGTGGCATTACAGCTCACAGCAACCTCCAACTCCTGGGCTCAAGTGAGTCTCTTGCCTCCGCCGCCCAAGTAGCTGGGACCACAGGTGCCCGCCACAACGCCTGGCTATTTTTTGGTTGCAGCCGTCATTGTTGTTTTGGTGGGTCCGGGCTGGGGATTCGAACCCACCACCTTAGGTGTACGTGGCTGGCGCCTTAGCCGGTTGAGCTATAGGCGCCGAGCCAGGTTATTCAGTTTCATGTTGATTTGATACAACCTAAAAACACCTGATATAAAAAAATACTTGGGCTCGGCGCCTATAGCTCAACCGGCTAAGGCGCCAGCCACGTACACCTAAGGTGGCGGGTTCAAATCCCCATCCCGGACCCGCCAAAACAACAATGACGGCTGCAACCAAAAAATAGCCCGGCGTTGTGGTGGGCGCCTGTGGTCCCAGCTACTTGGGAGGCGGAGGCAGGAGACTCGCTTGAGCCCAGGAGTTGGAGGTTGCTGTGAGCTGTAATGCCACGGCACTCTACCCAGGGGGACAGCTTGAGGCTCTGTCTCAAAAAAAAAAAAAAAAAAATACTTGATACGAAATGATGACATTCTCTTGATGTTTAGTTTTAAAAAACATATTTAGAGTTGGTTGTTCAAAAGATACGTAATCACTGAACAATAATAACTACACGGTGTTAATGAAACAACTAAAACCAGGTAAAACCCAGTAAGTACATCAGGGATACTTCTCTAGTGTATAAAATAATCTGTAATTAGCAAATTAAAGTTCAGTCTAAAAGTAAAAAATCATATCAACTGATATTTATTCAGCAATATATACAAATCATTATGTTAAGCATTAGAAATACAAGAAGTATTAGACTCTATAGGCCTGTTATACAACTGGACTGTAAACTGAAGCCAAATAACTGGGCCATGATGATTTAAATACTACTCATTAGTACTACACAACTAGATTTATAAGAATTAAGAGTAAAAGGGAAAAAGAAGGGAATTCTGAAAAGACATTATAACACTTTAATAATCATTTATAGCAGCCTCTATTTTCTCATACAGTGGTCATATTTGAATGGAGGTTTATAGAAACTTTGGGAGAGAGGCAGGGCTGATGCTCCCCCATATTTCAGATGAGGAAAATGAAGCTCGAAGAGATTGGGCAAGTTGCCCAAGATCACAAGTCAGGACTGGCAGAGTGTGAATTAGGAACCAGCCAGTTTCCAGTTTGCTGACTTTGTCCAGAGCTCACGTCTACTATACTAAATTCTGAATTATCAACACTAAAGTAGAAACTAGAAGGGAGTTCCAAAAATTTAATGGAGTGTTTCCCTAACCAACCTGATAAAAAAATTTTCTAGGGCACACATTAAAAATAGATTCCCAGTCCCCACTGCAGACACTACTGAGTAACCTCCATTAGGTGATTCTAGTGATTAGGTAAGCTTGGAAAACACTGTTCTATATCTGCATGTCCAGTATGGCAGATATTTTACTTAAATTTATACTAATTAAAATAATAGAATAAAAAACAGTTGAGGCCTTCAGTCCCATTAGCTACATCTTAAGTACTCAAAAGCCACATGCAGCTAGTGGCAACCATACTGGACAGCACAGATATAGAACATTTCCATCATGGCAGAAGGCTCTACTGGACAATGCTGACTTCCAGACCAACCGTTCAACTATGATGAGAAAACCGAAGCAAAGATCTTGTTCAACAAGGGCCATGAAACTAGCGTCAGAACTCCCCAACTCTAGCCTTATCTCCCAGTCCCCTTCCTATTATGCCACTTTATCCTACCTCATAATTCAGAGTTTGGGCAAATGGGAATTATTTCCTTTTCACTTTTTCTGTGGGTTTCAGCAAAGCAAGAAAATAAATTCTAAATTTGTGGGGAAAAAAAATCCTTAACAAAAGGTTTATCAAAAAATAATGAATAAATCTAAATCAATTTTTGTATCAAAAGTCATCCTGGACAGTTAAGAATATCCTGTTGTTAGGAAACAGCTTATTTTAACTATTTTAAGTCCTTCCTCTATTATTGTCTTGATGTTTTTATCTTTCTTAGATTTCAAACTTTGAGACTGATACTTATTAATGGGACTGTGAAATTGTAAATGGGAAAGGTTAAATACTAGTTATCAAGCATTCTGAAGATGAAAAATTGACAAATAAGGAGCAACCCAAAGAATGTAACTTATCTAATTTTAGACTGTGGTAACTCAGACCACTGAGCACCCTTGGCTTTTAGTAATCGTGTGGTTTAGTTATTTATGATTTTAATATATTGTTTTTACTTCTGAAGAATAATTTTACCTTTCAACCATTATGTTACATTTTAAAACAATTTAGAATAAATGATTTCATTTTAATTTTCAACATAGTTGAGGGATGAGCATCTGAATTTCCAAAAAGATTCAGATAATAAGCTCAACATAGAACCAGCCATAAAAAAATACATTGCTGTCTTCTTCAAAAATAAAACCAGTTGTTCCTGTCTAGTATGTTTAGAATGCAAATGTCTTCAAAGGCAGTCAACTAAAGTCATGACAGTTCATGTTGGAAGTAAGCATGAAAGCAACTTGGAACTGCCTCTTAATTAAAACTTTAAAGACAATTATTCAGCTCTCAATTTTTTTTACATGTAATATTCAATCTCATGTTAATTTCTAGTGACTAGATTGAGAGGACATAGTGTATGTCAAAGTTTACATAAAGTTAAAAATCACTTGGTTAAAAAATATGGCCCAATGTAAGATGCCATGAACAGATACTTATTCAAGAAAGATGTTGCTGTAATTTGCAAGGTACCCATAAGCCTTGAATATGGGGTGCTATATAAATAGAAGCTACTTGTTATTCAGCGAAAGAGTGGTGCAAAAAAGGGCGGCTGTTTTCTTTTCTTTTTTTTTTTTTTAAGAGATAGAGTTTCACTTTAATGCCCTCGGTAGAGTGCTGTGGCATCACAGCTCACAGCAACCTCCAACTTCTGAGCTTAGGTGATTCTCTTGCCTCAGCCTCCCGAATAGCTGTTACTACAGGCGTCCACCACAATGCCTGGCTATTTTTTGTTGCAGTTTGGCCGGAGCTGGGTTCAAACCATCTTTGGTATATGGGGCTGGCTCCCTACTCACTGAGCCACAGGACCCGACCAAGGCAGCTTTTTTCTCTTTGGTGTTGAAGTAAACAAAAAATAAAGAAACAGTCTAAGCACAAAAGAGGAAAGCAACAGTCTCTAAGTCATACAAGGGGGAGAGAAAAAAATGTTCTCTAACCTTTCAAACGGGGGGTGGGGAGGTAGGTTTTAGGGAAATTTATTTGCTGGCTTTTATTTTTTATTTATTTATTTTTTTTTTTGGAGACAGAGCCTCAAGCTGTCCTCCTGGGCAGAGTGCCGTGGCATTACAGCTCACAGCAACCTCCAACTCCTGGGCTCAAGCGAGTCTCCTGCCTCCGCCTCCCAAGTAGCTGGGACCACAGGCGCCCGCCACAACGCCCGGCTATTTTTTGGTTGCAGCCATCATTGTTGTTTGGCGGGTCCGGGCTGGGGATTCGAACCCGCCACCTTAGGTGTACGTGGCTGGCGCCTTAGCCGGTTGAGCTATAGGCGCCGAGCCTATTTGCTGGCTTTTAGATTAGATGTATTACTTCTACATTATATTTGTTGTATCTTGACTCCCACTCTGCTATACGAGGAAGAGAAAAACATGTACTCCCAAGATGCTTATACCAACAAAATTACTTTTGGAGGGGCAGCATAACTCACCAAATGAAAGAGAACTTAGAAAAATACTGAGTCACCATAGTTTCAATTTAACTATTTCAACTACCAAAAGTGATAAATATTGATGCGCATTAATGTAAGCGACACTAAAAATATTGTAAAGTCTAGGCAAATGTCAATTCCAAATATCATAAAATGTACAGTTGTTAAAAAGAAAAGCATTTGGAAGAGGGGCTTGAAGATCAGTTAGCAAGAAACACAGGTCAAATGGGTGGAAAGGAAGCAGTTCTTTTGATCATCCCTCCAGCGGGTGATGCTTTTAACTGCTTAAGTACTATTTCCCAGGAGGCAATTTTAGACATCCTTAAAAAAATTGATTTAGGTAACAAGCAAATTATATCATGTGACACAAGAACTATATAGAGACAAAATTTTTAACTTCAATAAGACACACTAGTGGGAGAAAATAACCTTGACATCTCTATATTGTAATTCTCTAGTTTCCTATAGAAAAATGTCAATCATCTTCAGATGTGTAAGCCAGCACATTTGAAACTGACCCAGCAAAGTTTTCAGTTAGCCCTCGCTATCTCTCAAACCCTCCTTCCTCCACTTTCCTGCTGTTCTTTCCTGGCACACAAAATATAGGCCAATGAGCAGTGGGTGGGTGAGGAGGATGTGAGAGAAAATTTGAGAAGTAAAAAAAAGGAGTAACTTAACCAGGACATGAATGAGACTGAAGGGTCTAATAAGGGCAGGCAAGCAATTAGAACTACTAAAAACCAGAATGAGCTTTCTTAGGCAGTAAAGAGAGTTCAGTTTAAGCACAGGCCAGATTACCTACCACTTGTCAGAGAAGCTGCAGAGAGGACGGCTGCTTTGGGTGACCTCTAATGTCTCTTCCGACTCTGAAACGTTAGGATTCTTATTTTACAAAAGAGAACGCAATGGTCATAGAAGCCCACCGACCTGGAACCCTTTTAAATAAGCAGCTTTGGCGGCTGCTTCCAAAACAACACTCCCACCTCACCCTCCGCACGTGCCCACCCCGCCCCCTTTCAGTATTTCCACCTCCTCGTGCAAAATGCCTCGCGGGATTGGCCCCAAGGAAGATAGGCACCTTTCCCAACAAAACACCCAAACTACGCCATCCCCACGCCCCGAGGAGTGAGGACTCCACTTTCCCACCCTGAGAAACTAAAAAAAGGAAAAGTCTCAGATCCGGCCTTTCTCCCCCAGTCAGAGCAAGGGGCAGGGACAGGACGCAGAGAAAAACTTTCTTCTCAAAATTTTCTTCCAGAGCGTGGAGGAGATAACGAGAACCCTAACGAGTCCAGGGCTGAGGGGGGTGGGGGGAGGGGAACCTCTGAATCGTTTAACGGCTGGAAGGGGGAGGGGGCTCTGGAGGTTGAGGGGGCGTGGGATGGAGAAGCAGGCCTGGGAGCGGGGTCAGGGAGCTGCAGGGTTCCGGGGTCGGAGAGCTGCAGGCATCCCCCCCACCTGGCACACAAAGCGGCTGCCGCGCTCGGCTCTCACCAGATCCTTTGTGTTTTCCATCAGGGCCTCATGGGTAGGGGTTGTCCGTGCTCCCCGAGCCCGCGGCGCCCCCTCCCGAGCTGGGGGCAGGTGCCTCTCTCAGGGACTGCGGCGACTACAGGGGGCCCCCGGCTGGGCCCAGACCGGTGGCGGCTGCGGCAGCCCCCGGATTTCCCCCCTTTAACTCGGGTGGCCCCAGGATATCAACAACATTAGCATAGCCCTCCCTCCCCAGCGCGCCTGCGCCGTGACCCGCGCCCCGATTGGCCCACTTCCCTACTTACCCTCCTCTCTCTCTTCCAGCGTGGGACCCTCCGCAGGCTCCGTACTCTAAGGGCAGTACCAAGACGAAGGGTGAGAAACGTGGTGGGGCTCGTGTTAAGTCGAGTGGTTAAAGTTAGAAGGAAGAGTAGACATTTCATTCAGTCATTTCAGTTTATACCTGGCTTTCTTGCGCTTCTTTCAATATGTTGCTGCTGCAAAGTTGTGCTGGGAAAATTTTCCACTCCAGTCACGCCGCCGCCCCTACACCCGGAAGATTGGCCCTCCCGGAGGAACTCCCCCACCGGGAGGGGCTGGAGACGGAGTGGGAGTTACGTAGGGAGGGAGTGTTGGTCACGTGGCAAGAGGCTGCGCAGGCTCCTCCCGCCCCCCCGGGCCTCGGCGGCGGCGGAAAGCAAGGCGCCCAGGCGCATGCACAGTGAGGTTCCACGTGAGCGCCTGCGTTTCTTCTCAAACCTAACGATGCCGCCGGAACGGAGGAGCCGAATGAAACCCGACCGAAGGGCCGCAGCGAGGCAAACCCGGAAGACCCGAATGAAGCCCGACCGCAGAGCCAGATCGAGGCCGGGCGGGCCGCCCCGAAAGGCTGCCCCTTCATCCCAGCGGAAACTGCCGGCCCGGCCGAACGCGGCGGCTGCTGCGATCGCAGTCGCGGCGGCGGAGGAGGAGAGGCGGCTTCGGCAGCGGAACCGCCTGACGCTGGAGGAGGACAAACCCGCCGTGGAGCGGTGCCTGGAGGAGCTGGTCTTCGGCGACGTCGGGGACGACGAGGACTCACTGCTGCGGCGTCTGCGAGGCCCGCGGGTGAGGGAGGCCGCGGCGCGCGAGCTGGGCGCGCTCGGGCGGGGCGCGCGGTGGGCGGCGAGGCTCCGGAGGCGGAGCCTGGGCGACCTGAGGCGGCGGGGAGCGCTCAGGTGGGAGGGAGGCCGAGAACGCGGGCTCCGAGGGGCGCGGCTGCTGGTCCCTTGCCTCTCGGCGCCGGACTGAAAAGTCTCTGGAGGGCGGAGACCGCGCCTTTCTCCGCCCACGGAGGAGCCGCTGCGTTTGCTATCCTTTTGTTTTGCGCACCCTAGTCGTTGAGCATCTTGTGAGCATCTTCCCAAGCAAGCTAGGCTCCCCTGTCCTCTCAACAAATTCTGCGTAGTATTTTACTTACCTGCCTCAATTCTTTGCCGTGATTCAGGGGTTCCGTTTCGTTGATGGAATCAATTGGTGGGCAGAGGTCTGGGAATCTGCGTTTTATCAGTCTCCCCATGTGATCATGGGGCACACTCCTGAGAATGATCATGAATTCGTTTATCCAACAAGTATTTCAAGCCTGTTGGGTGCCGCATACTCTTGGCAATGGCACACCACTGCATACTTGATTATACTTTTTGCACACTTTTAAATCACTCCTTTTATTCTATACCTGGTTTTTCTTTCAAGATGGGGAGTTCTAGGCATTATTCTAAGGCGTTGGAGGAGACACAGCCATCGCCAAAACTGATAATAAAAAAAAAATCCCTGCCTTCTTGGAGCTTGTGTACTGGTGGCAGAGACAAGATAAAGGAGATAAATAAAATTGAAGTATTTTAAGTGCCGAACAGAAAAAAAAGTTAGGGAAAGAGAGATCAGTGTGCGTAGAGGAGGACTGAAATTCTAGAAGCCAAAGAAAGTGTCGCTGAGAAGTAGTCAATATTTGTTAAATGAATGCAGACGTGAAGTGTAAGCTGATTTCCAGAACCTCCTTGGCAAGCTTGTGGGAGAAGCTGTAGAAGTCTAGTCAGGAGATAAAAAACTGCTGTTGGAAAAATGATGAACTGTGTGACGGTTTTATAGTCAGGAGAAGGAAATAGTCCAACAGGAGGGATTCGTTGGGGTTTGAGACAATTTGTTGATCTTAGATTGGCAGTAGGACAAGTAGAAATCACTTGGATGTTTCTATCACGTGGTTTTGGAAAGCTCAACCTGTCACCAGAGGTATTGTGTGGTCTAGACTTGGATTTCAGAGTATGGCATAAAGTTTCTTATGGAGGTAGGTGGTGAAGAACAGGGAAGAAAAATGGAGATGCCTTTGACACTTGGGTCCTGTGATTGCTCTAGTTCTTGGATTTCTCCTGGTCCATACCTTTTGTTCTTATCTTACTTGGTCTTCACCTTTCTAGGCATATAACCTCTCCTTGAGTGTTTCATCTTGTTTGCCTGTCCAACCAGTGGTACCTACCATTCTCTGGTCTTTTCATTTTGTGCTTCTGCCTCCAGCATTTGCTATGGTAGTATTTCATCCAGTTATTCCATCAGAGGGCCATAAAAAAAGCATTTTAGAAGCCGTTTTTCTGCAAAGCATGTGTGTCTGTCACCACAGGATAGGAACAGCTCAGTGCTTGAGGGCATTTTCTTTTCTGTAGGTTCAAGAGCATGAGGACTCTGGTGACTCAGAAGTGGAGAATGAAGCAAAAGATAATTTTCCAACTCAGGAGAAGCCAGTTTGGGTGGACGAAGAAGATGAAGATGAGGAAATGTAAGTTGCCTCTGGACGCTTAAAAAAAATCATTCTCTCGGCTAGGTGCCTGTGGCTCAAGTGGCTAAGGCGCCAGCCACATACACCTAAGGTGGCGGGTTCGAATCCAGCCCGGGCCCGCCAAACAACAATGATGGCTGCAACCAAAAAAATAGCCAGGCATTGTGGCAGGTGCCTGTGGTCCCAGCTACTTGGGAGGCTGAGACAGGAGACTTGCTTGAGCCTAGGAGTTGGAGATTGCTATGAGCTGTAATGCCACGGCACTCTACCCAGGGTGACAGCTTGACTCTCTGTCTCAAAAAAAAAAAAAAATCGTTCTCTTTATAAATCTGTGGTTATGTGAAGATTTGAGAAATATATGAAAGCATAGAAAAGGTCATTCATAATCCCATCACCAGGGAGAAATGACAGCATGTTGGCATACTTCTGTCTGGTCTCTTCTGTGCTGTGTAGAATAGCTAAGGGAACACAGTGTTTGGAGTCAGACCTGAGTTTGCCTTCCAATTTGACTCTGGGCAAGTTTGAGACTTACCTTTTTTACGTTGTAAAATGGGCACAATGATAGTAACTGTTATCAGGAAGCTGTTGGAATTAAATGAAATAGTGCATAGTACAGTGCCTGAAACTGAATAAAGGCTAAAAAAAAAAAAGCTAACTCGTACTGTGTGCACTTTCATGGATGAGAAAATATTGTACAGTTAGTATTTTGAGTTTCTATGTAAAATTTTTCCCCATTTAAAAACCTTTATAAACATTTTTAAATGGCTATGTTGTAGCCCACGTATGAATTAACCATACTTTACATAGCTATTGTTTGATTGATTTTATTTGTCCCTTTAATGAATTAATGCTGAAAGAAACATCTTTATAAATATCTTTATAAACAAACCTTTTATTGCTTTCCTTACTATTTCCTGAAGAAAGGTTCTTTATTTGATTAAAAAGCAGTTATTGATTTTTTTTTTTTTTTTTTGAGACAGAGCCTCAAGCTGTCCCCCTGGGTAGAGTGCTGTGGCATCACAGCTCACAGCAACTTCTAACTCCGGGGCTCAAGTGAGTCTCCTGCCTCAGCCTCCCAAGTAGCTGGGACCACAGGCGCCTGCCACAATGCCTGGCTATTTTTTGATTGCAGCCGTCATTGTTGGGTCCAGGCTGGATTCGAACCCGCCATCTTAGATGTATGTGGCTGGCGCCTTAGCCACTTAAGCCACAGGTGCTGAGCCAGTTATTGATATTTTAATATCGTCAAGACTGAATGAGGTTCTACTGATTTCCTTTTTATTGAAAGCGGTCCATTTCAATCCATTCTTACACTGTGACTTACTTTTTTAGACTTTGTCACTTTGATGCTGGTAAATACCTCTACCTAGTTAATGTTGAGAAAATGTTTTTAGTCACTGTTTCTTACAAGTATACTTGTTATTTGTCTGTTGGAGGCTAGTTTTTAATGATCGTAGTATGTTGGTTCCTTATATATTGAGAATTTTCAACCTTTATATGTTACTATTTTTACTGTTTTTTGCTACACTTGACCTTAGCCAAAAGACCAAGAAGTAGTTTTACTGTTTTAATAGTATTAATAAAAAGTTCTCTGTCAGAGAAAGACAAATGTTTCCCTATATTTTTCCCTTACAGTATTGTAAGGTTGGCTTTTTCTATGTTTAATTCTTTGATTTACCTGGGATTGATTTTGGGAAATGGCATAAACTGTATATGGATAAGTCATGTTAAATTTTCTGAAATTTTAGTCCTCCAAATGGTTAACTAGATGATCTGAAGTATGGGCAACTCTTTTTTGTTTTAGGAAGAACAGAGACTGTACGTACGAGCCGTTCACTAAAGGCAGCAGTTATTTATGTTGGCTTTTTAAGTCATTTAAAAGAATGCTATTCTTTTCTTTTTTTAAAGGGTTGACATGATAAATAATCGGTTTCGGAAAGATATGATGAAAAATGCCAGTGAAAGTAAACTTTCAAAAGACAACCTTCGGAAGAGACTTAAAGAAGAGTGAGTGTCCTTGTTCATGTGATTTTACTAAGTGGTGTCGACAACCAGTGGTTTCCTTTGATTACCTCAGTCTTCAGCTGTAACAACTTGAGTAGTTAGATTTCCATTTTGGAACATAGGAGTATTGGTTTTGGAGTCAGCGACTATGCATGCTTTGTGGGAAGCAGATAAAAAATTTGGAAAAACAGAAAATGTGGAAAAAAATATAAGTAATACTGCTTATTTGCTTGTTCTTTTATATATGGTAAACCATTTCTTTTTTGTATGAACTTTTTTAAAAAATATCTACCACCTATGTTCAGTTTCCTTTTTTTTAAAAACATTTTACCGTGTTTGCTTTTTATGTATTTGGGATATGTGTGTGTTTCTCAGCCTATTGTGTAAGGTGCAGATAATACAACACTTAACCCCTAAATTCTTGAAGGTGAATTGCCAAAGATAAAGGACATTTGCCTTCATATTCACAATAGCATTGTCATACCTAAGAAATTAGTGGCTTAAAAACTGGTTATGGTGCCTCTTGTTTGTAATCTCAACACTTAGGATGGTGAAATGGGAGGACGGTTGGTCGCCAGGAGGTCAAGACCAGCCTGGGCAATATGGCTAGACTCTGTCTCTATAAAAAATAAAAAGCATTAGCTGGATCTGGAGGCATGCGCTACTTGGGAGGATGAGGCAGGAGGATTGCTTGAGCCCAGGAGTTTGAGGTTACAGTAAGGTATGATTAGGCCACAAAGCAGCGACAGAACAGTGAGATCCTAT